ATAATCCAGTAGTATTAAGTTATTTTCGGATAGGAAATATTATATTTATACAAATCCTTATTGTAATACAAGTGGCTTATTTTTTGGTTTATTTGTTAAATGAAGCAAATATTTATCTCTCAATGTTATTACAGGGCCTCAATCCCAATACTTTCGGAAAGCTTTTAACGTTAATTTACTTTTAATGTTACATTTCGGATTTCGTTTAGCCATCACTAATACAATATTAATGGGTTTTATATAAAGAAATAGACGATGTCACTTGACAAAGTATCAAACAATGCTGAGTAACTCTGAAATTGATGGGAATTTTAAAAAAATAAGTCTTTTTCAGATTTTGACAATTGACTTAGGTGTAATGTTACCATATATCATTTGATTCTATAATCGGGAAAAACAATTTCATAGACATAGACATAAAATTTATTACTAACAAATCACACACACAGAAACATACAAAATAACAATAATCAAAAAATATAAAAAAAATTGAAAGATAACAATTTTTTTTTAAAGAACAAGGTACGTTTAAATTATGTAATGCATGTATGCTGTGGTTGCAATTGGCCCTGGATCAGCATTTATGCTGCGGAGCAGACTGTTCCACAGCGCTAGTCATTCTGAGCCAGAGACCACAGAAGCTACTTTGCGCCTCAGTGGCAAAAAAAGTGGCTCTTGTGTTGTTTCTTCTTTCTTTCAGTGTGCCGTATATAAAGAGGGATTTTTTTAATATAAATAATCGTATCAAATAAATTTATTATCCATTATAAATATATTTATTTGTCCAGTAGATTATAAATACTAAGTTCTTACAATAAACTTAAAGTTTTTCCTAGTATTCAATCAGACGCATTCCTCACCAAGAACGTATATTTATTGATAAATATCTGCAAGAGCTTTGCTACAAGCATATATTTTAAACTATTTTGTAATTTGTCCTTGACTACTATAGACTATAGACTTTTTGCTACTCCAATCAATTCACCAATGAATAAATTTACTTAGTATCTAAGCGTACAATGAGCGTCGCAAGTACAAACTATTAGCTCGGTTATCGCAGTGAAGATAAAAGACATCTTCAAACTCCAATACAGAGCTTTTGTCTGAACTCGGCTCAACTTTGTTCGATTCTCTTCCCGACCCCAACTGAGTGGCCCAAGTTATACGTTATGGTAATGGTTCTACGGAAATGGAACGATTTTGTTTCAGCAAAGTCAGCTGGTACTATTTCATAGAGAATATTTTACACTTATTTTTAAAGAACTAAAGGTTTATACTATCGTGTAATAAATAAAAATTGCAATTGATTGAATTAAATTTTTTTTTGGCATACTAATCTCAAATCTCAAGCGATTGTCCTTTTTAACTACTTACTTTAAATTTAAAACTGCAAAAGTGTTTGTAATATTTTAACTTATTTATTGGCATTAGCACTAGACTTTATTTTCCCAAGTTGAATAAACTTTAAACTCTATTGAAATCTCTGCCCAACCCGTCTGAATCTGAATCCGCCAGAATTCTGAGGCCAAGAAGTTCAGGCATTTTTAAGTGATTTTTTGTCTGTTTTTTTGAATACGCTAATCTTAGGAAGTACTGCAAGGAATTGCGATACCATTTATGTATTGGACTTAACTTAGATCCTTGCACGATGCACGAAGTACAAATTAAAACTGTTGCTCTGACTCTAGTGGTTTAACTATGTTCAATTGAAATTGAAATTTAAACATTTTAATTATATACATCGCTGTCCTCACTGCTTTGCACCGCACTCTGAGCTTTAAGTATAACGGAATGGAAGTGTCGCCGGCAAATTGAGTTCGATATGCAAATGATGTTTCATTGATATTGTTGTTTTGTTGTTCTCTTGTTGTATCGCAATCGCTCCCAAACTTTGTTGCTAATTCACTTAATCGTTCCTCTATTCCTTTACAGGCATTTAACTTAATTTTTAATTTTAATATCAAGATTATTATTAGTAGTATTTGCACGAATATTAAGCATTTTTTATTTAATTTCACGATTCACAGTTTTTTTTTTAAATTTATAGCTTGTGAGTATAATTGGACATTAAATTAATGAATGTTAATTATACTTTCTCTATGAATAAAACATTAAGGACGCTGTTATATTATACCTAAGTTATGATATTTAATAGGTAGATAGTATATAAAATAACGAATCTATAAGACGCGATTTCCTACTCCTCCGACTTATCTATCTTAAAAGAATATTATGTAGTATACTAGGAAAAGGTTGTTCATCGTTTCTATATAAGGGAACGATAGTCAAAACGGAGTATCAGGTTAGTTTTATCGTCTTGTACGGGAGTATAATCCCATCGTAATATAGCTATACTTCTACCATACCCTATGTCGTGTATAAAGGCTTCAACAGGTGTTAGCTATGGAGCGGAGGGTCCGTCCATTAACGCCCGATGCTAACACACGATTTCGTTATTGCTTCCTATTTAACGTCTACGGGCTTGAGATATGTTAGTTTCAGTTTACGGTTCACTGAAAACATTCTTATATATTAGTATTACATATATGATAATACAAAATATTACTATTACAGTGTATCTACAAAGTATTAAATGATTGGAATTGTTGTTATGAAAAGCTTAGTTTTGCAATTAACAGAACTAAGATCTTTCATTTATCATTTTCGTTCAGTTTCGTAATTTGCGCTAAGCTAGCTAGGTGAAACCACCTAAAATTGATAATATTGTTTAATAATACTATCTTTAAACTCCTCCTGAACGGCTGGAATCGATTTAAATGATTTTTTTTGCATGTTCAAGAGGTTTTGAGAATGGTTTAAATTTACAATTAGATTTTTTAATATATTTGTGTGTACCGGACAACAACTGTAGGGTTCGCTAGTCTATACTAATAACTTCTAAAATACTAATGTTATAAAGAGGAAACATTTGTGTTTTTGTATGTATGTTTGTAATGTTTTCACACAAAAACTACTGGAACGATAAAAAAAAAATAGAGATCCCTAATTAAAATGCAACAATATATCCCAAGGGGTCATAAAAAAATTCCATAAAAATCCGTCATCGCGTGCGGTATGGAAACTATTGATGATATAACGAAAAAATGTTGTACAGTATTATAGAACGTATCTATCAAGATTTACAAAAATAATGTTTTATCCATGGGCTATAGTATGTTATGAATATGTTATGTATATTATGTATAGTATGTTGGCTTATCCCGAGTCGGAACTCCAAAACATGAAATTATTTTGTTTTATTTATGCCACAAGATAAAACTACGTCAAATGTTGTGTTTAGAGACACTGTAGTTCTAGAAATAAATCTCTTTTCTAATATTATACAAAAAAGTTTTAAATTTCGAATATTTGTTTTTATTTTTAACAATTAATAACCAAGCTAAAAATTCCTCGACTTATTAAAAAAAATTTCATTACTACTTGAAATCAGGAATTTTTCAATACCTTCTGAGTATTTTTAAATTTACAAATGTCGGAATGACGTAAATAATGTTACGAATTTAAAATGTATTAGATATATATTCAATGTAAAGTAAAATCTGTATATTGATTAGATTATGAATATAAGTGTGTATCTAATCTAAGTAAAAAAAAACTTTCCACTACCATGAGATCAGTATCTATGCGAGTGAAACCGCGGGGCATAACTAGTATTATAATATATAAATCTATTCCTCAAATCATTCTAGTTGTTGGGTGTTCTGAACAACCGTTTCCGCGGACGGTGAGATGAGACTTAGGACACTAATAACGATTATAAATAAGATGACATTCTTAACAACTCATCTGACAAAGCAATCTGTGATGCAATCGTGACAGAACAGACAGATACACGAGTCAGCTATCTATTAGGTGCAATAAATTGTCGGGATCAATAGGGGCTGACAGTTGGACACCAATAAATTTACTGGTGTTTCATTCCAGGCCGGGGCTGCCATTCCGCTGTCCATTTGTTGTTTTTTTACGAGGGCAAATGAATTTGACCGCCTGGCTCTGTTTAACTAATCAGGATGTTTGTCCGGTGTTACTCTGTGGTGAGTTTGGGAATTTGTATATTCAGTGTGATACACAATCAATCAATCATTAGGTTTATTCTTGGGAATAGTACTGAAGGATATTATACCATACTTCATAGACAAATGTGTCTATTTCTATACTTGAGCAGTGGCAGCGTGTTACGTTCATCCTTGTGGTCGTAGGTTTGAATGCCCGTTGTGCATCAATGGACTCTATGTGCGCATTTAACACTCGGACCGTAAAGGAAACATCGTTGACCCAAAAAGTCCCACTTCCATCCGATCGCCCACTAGCCTATATGAAAAACAAATACAGAAATCTGAGGTTCAGACCTTAAAGGATCCGCTGCTGTTTTTTTATCTCTTATCGTAATAGAGGGTTAAAATATTACACTTAATTTTTGTTGATTCTTGATTAACTTATGAACATTACTTTAAACAGAAACAAAATCTCTGTATATAAGATGTACATAAAAAGCTGTTAGGTCCTAAAATTTATTTTGATCTTTACAAATTTATTTTTATTTTTATAATATTATGAATAAACTAAAATTACACAAAAAAACACTCAATTGTTTAACCTTAGTGCCTGAAGGAAACAAATCGACTTATCCGTAGAACAGAGTCCGATGTGATCATGGAGCAAAAATGATTTTAATAGCTAAACGAGATAAGGAATACGAACTCTACAGATGTACGTTTTTAGAATTTTCGTATCTTGTTTAGTTTCGGAAATATAGAATCGAATAACGCACCATCTGACATTAATTCCGTATAAAAACGCACGAAGTGATCTAGCGACGGCGCGCGGGAAGCGGGGGGAGGCGCGGGCGCCCCGTCCGCTTGTCACTCCGGCCGCTGTTCGTTGGAGAGAGGATGTATTTGTGTCATGCGCTCAGATTTTTTCTGGTTTGATGTACAAAATAAATTAAGTGCTTTGCATGTAATAACATATTTTTAAAGATGTCACGTTCAAAGAAAATATTAGATATGCTACAAAAAACTGATGCAGAAAGGCCTGAGCTTAGTGCACCATTTTCAAATGTTCCTACTGATTATACGAAAAAAAGTGTAAATACTGGTATGTTGACGATTTCAGCTGTATTATTTCGCGATACACACTAATAAATTCTTAAATTAACAAACATCATATCTGTATTGCTTTAATATTGCATTTTTGTCTCATTAAAGCGTTGTGGGCGATTGATTTTAATATAGGACGTTTCATGCCGGAGAGGTATAGAAACGCATTTGTAGTGCGAAAATCATGCGAAAAAGCAATTGGCATAATGTTTAGTCACAGAGTATTCATTCTTTCTGTTATAATAAATAGTAAAAAGTAGAAGTCTTACGAAACATAAGGACGATTTTATACGAACATTATTGGTATTTTAAGCGTGTCATATGAAAATAGGACGTTTTTCTACGGAATCTTTAATATGATTTCTTGGTTTGATATTAAGATGGGACGTTGTTACTGGGATAATGACATCAGTTAGGACGTTGTTCATTTAAAAATATCGTTAAATAATAATATTATAAAGTTTTTTTTTGTTGCATTCATTTCTTAATAATGTTTTATGAATACCTATAATAATACTATCCAGTATTTTTTTATACTTCAGCTCTGAACGTTGATGACAACGACATTAGACAACAAAGCTCACCTTTGCCTTCCGGTGCAGAAGAAATCAGTCAAGAACTAGCTGATATATGGGAAGAAGTTCTGCATGAAGATGGTGGGACCGAAGAAATTACCTGCGATAGCCCAATACCGAATGTGTCTGATCCGTCTGCCAAAGATGTTTACAGCAATCAACCTAGCACATTTTCTTTGGAAGTGCCTTCTAGTTTCGAGAATTCACCATTAATTCAGCTTGAAGAGTTGTTAGAAGTTTCTCACCACAGATCTACCCCAGTTAATTTGGAACTGTCACTGCCAACTCCTATGCCATCTCCTACTAATCTCCATTCGATCTGCGATAGCTCATTCTGCCCTAATCATGCAGACTTATTATCTATGATTTCTTCGTCGTCATTTAGCACCACAAATTCACCTTCTTCGCACGTAAGCTATGCCACCGTGACTCCTAAAACGACTAGAAAACGACAGAGGCGCCCAAAAGAATGGACAGACGTTAAACGCAAATGCCTTAAAAACTTAGGTAAGAAATATGTCACGAAAAAAGGAAAAGCCGTAGACGAAAAAACGATGGGACCATCATGTAAATGCCGTTACAAATGTCCTGATAAAATATCTCACCAACAGCGGTTGGAATGCTTCACAAAATTTTGGCAACTGGGAGATCGAGCTATGCAGTGGAATTTTATCATCAAATATTCCGTTAAAATGAAGAAGAAAAGATGCCTGAATCAAGACACTCCTAATAATAGAAAACATACTTTTAAGTATTATCTGCCGCTGATCACAGGTTCTAGCGAGTCTCACTGCGAAAAAACCGAAGTATGCCAAACTATGTTTATTAATACTCTTGCCGTTTCAACTCGTATCTTAAAAACTGCATGGAAGAAGTACGATGGAAGCGCTATTTTGGAAGAGGACAGACGGGGTCGCCACGATAATCATAAGATTGTTATAGATGACGCAATGAAACAAAGTGTTTGTGACCATGTTCGGGCATTTGTCCCTGTTGAATCGCATTATATACGCAAGAATAGCCAAAAGCTCTACCTACAAGGAGACTTAAGCATTGCCAAAATGTTCAAATTGTATCTTGAATGGTTCGACTGCGAGAAATACACCTCTAAGGCTACAAAGGAACGCCAATATCGTGACATTGTCAATTTGAACTTTAATCTAGCTTTTCATATTCCCAAAAAAGGATCAGTGCGACGAATGTCACGTTTTTCGATTGAAAAAAAAATCCAACAGACCAAGAAAAAGAAACTTTTCAACAACACCAGGCTAATAAAAAGGTCGCAAGGAATTTAAAAAGCCAAGATAAGAAAGACGCTGAGGAGTCAAATGGAAACATGGTTGCTGCTGTGTTTGATTTTGAAAAAGTATTGCAGTGTCCTCATGGCAATATAAACATATTTTACTATAAGAGAAAGTTATCTTCATTTAACTTCACAGTTTTTGACATGGGTAAAAGGAAGGCCGTTTGCTATATGTGGGATGAATCTGTGGCAAAACGTGGCGCAAATGAGGTCAGCAGTTGCCTCTTAGATTTTATTCAGACTAATGTTGACCGAGGGGTCAAAGAGTTTCGCTTTTGGTCAGACAATTGTGCTGGCCAAAATCGTAACCGCTTTGTATTTTCAATGTACGTTTACGCAGCAAAAAAGTTCAACATATACATAACACACCGCTTCTTACAGAAAGGACACACCCAAAATGAAGGGGACAGTGTCCATTCTGTCATAGAGAGAGCTTCTCAAACCAAAACTATATATTCCCCGCATGAATGGCGTTTATTAGTAAGATGGGCTAAAAATGAAGGAGAACCCTATGTTGTTCGCAACGTAACCCAGAATGACGTATTTGACTTTAAATGTCTTGTTATTAATAAAGTTTGGATGAAAGACATCAATGGCAAGAAAATTAACTGGAGTAACATTCGAGAAGTTCATGCAGACGGTAGTGATCCAAACAAATTGTTTTTTAAATATGACCTAACTCAATCTGATTACAATATTTTAGTGATTCGCGGTAACACCCGGAACTCAATACAAACTGAACTACAACCTGCTTATTCTGAACCTATTATGGTTCCTCCCGCTAAATATAAAGATTTAATGGATATGTGCCGTTCGGAAGTTATTCCCTTCGAATATCATCCATACTTTAACTCTTTACCACATAACACCTCTGTTGATGTTTCTGAAAAATTTGATGATGATTTATCGGAATAAGAAACATTTTAGACATTTTTTTTTTCTTTTTTACTATGTTTTTACCGATTTAGAGAAACAATGTTAATCGTAATAAGTACTAAATAAGTTATTTAATGTTTGCCTACGTGCAATTTCATTGCTATTAAATATGTATAAGATCCACGTCTAGGTCACAATGTAAGACTGATTAATAATTATTATTGAGGCTGAATATCTCCATATAAGTATTTCCTGTTGTAATGATAAATATTTAAGTACATTTATAAGTTTGAGACTGCTAATTTAAGACAGTTACCTAGTTACCATGCTGTGATACGAAATGCCATTTAAGTTTTAACTTTTACGCCACCAAAATAGTTTTAGGTATACTTACGTAAAATTGTATTGTTATTAAGTATGTTTGTTTGAACATATCGTTGATTTTATAAATGCGAAGTTTAAATTTCTCCATACGCGTCTCCTGTAATGTTCCCGTACCGTACCTAACTGTGATGTGTGAAAAATTATGCTTTCTAATAGTTTTGATATCTATTTTGAGATTTTTTAAACTAACTAATAAATTTTTAATAATAATTTTATTTTTTATTTAGTTACATGGCCCTCCCATGTAACTAAATAATGTTCGCTATTCATCATATAGCGAACATTATGTTTAAAAATTGTAAGATGTTTATTTACATAGGACTCATAAGGAATGGGTAATTCCAACAAAAAATTACCCATGTTAATATAGAACGTCATTTAATTCAGACGTCTCCGTAAAACAACGTACAATGTTCATTTCGGACCCTCGCTCTTCCGCCATAAAACGTCCTATGTTTATATGGAACTCACTATCTCGTGAAATAAGAGGATAAGAAATATACACTACATAGCATTTAACTAGGCTGGGGTGTTGTCACAACATACCAAAAAATCAAAATGTCAAGTCTCACTGTTTAAGAATTACACAAGTCAACAACTTCTCTTACCTCTACTGTAAACTATCAATCCTGCAGATGGGACTCTGTTCTACGGATAAGTCGAAATAGTTTTTAGTTATATGTATATGGTATATAAACTTATCTTTTCTCTCTGATTAATGTTTTCGTTTCGTCGTGATGTAATCACTGTACAAATTACTTTAAATTCCTTACAGATCACTGAATTTAAAAAGATACAATCAAAACAAAAACGAAACGAAAACATTAATCAGAGAGAAAAGATAAGTTTATATACCATATACATATAACTAAAAACTATTTGTTTCATTTTACTACCAACATCAAAGTGGTTACTTTGATAAAAACATTCTGCAATAGCCAAGCCGTAATATACAGAAAACCGCGTTGGAATCTCTTTTTGAATGTTGGTGTAAAGCACCTAACTGACTATACGGTTGGCGGCGCATTTTCCCGCTCATTCTGATTGTCAATTGGTGCAAACGTCGGATGTGACGTCAGCAACAAGAACCGTACTAATGCCTTCGCCAGTTCGTGGAATTCATTACTGAATGAGCTCTGTTTTGTGAAGTATAAATACGAAGTTTTTAGCTTTCAGAACATAGTTTGTAAATGACGCTCCACCATTGCTCAGACTGAGTTATTTTATATAACGATGTTGAGAGTTTGGAACTTTAAGACATATTATATTATTTTACAGGTTTGTAAATTTATAACGTAATATTTACTTTTAGATAATTTTATACAACACTTTTGAAAGTCCATTGCCAAACCATTTCTCAGAAGTTTAACAAATCAATTACTACCTAAGTAGCGTATTTAGGTGGTAGCTAGGACTTAAGAATTACGAATTACATAGGTTAAGTGACCTTTTTTATTGTCCGTTAAGTGAACTAACAAAAGTTCTACTATTTGATTTGATCAAATCAATGTATACAAAATATTGTAAAAACTGTTTTAAAAGAGTAAGTATGGAGTTTCTTGCCCATTATTCTTAATACAAAACTACCTTTTGGAAGGGGAACTTGTAATTTTTTTAATATCTTTAACTTGTGGCTTAGACTTTTAAATAGGCCTAATTGATTTGAATTAGGCCTAAAATTGTTTGAATTAGATTTTGACTTTTTGGCAATAAATATTACTTAGCTTGTTTTTCCTAATAAAATTGAATCATTTAATCATGCTACATACGTATAATTTGTATTTACAATTTTCTTAATCTACAAACTAATAAAAATTTTTTTAAAAAGAAAATTAAAAATTAAAATTAAATTTTTCCTAATTAATTTTTTATGCCTCTTTGTATACCGTGTGTAAATATAAAAGGGTGCGTGTACTTATGAACGCGCGTAAGAAGTTATACTTCTTTGGCATTATTAAAAATAGTTTTTGATAGCATGCAAATAATTAATTACAATTAAATAATGAAAGACTGGAAAAGGAGTCATTGTAGTCAATAAAGTTCAGTTTACATTTGAAAAGTCAATAAATAAATATGAATTATTATTCTCTTACATTAAGTGTAACATAAATTCTATTATTATTCGAATGTTGTTTTTAAATTATGTCCAATGCCGTAGCATCTTCCGTGGGCAACTTCATTCTGTTAATTTTGTATTACGGTGCGCGCGCATCGTAAAATTTCACTCTCATCAATTTTTCATAACGCGCCTAAAGAAGTATAACTTCAAAAAATTATAGGATATGCATTTTTGTTGTTTAGGGTCACATGTTATGCTAAGATTTAGTGTTTTGTAAATAAATAAAGTATCGCAGTACCGTGGTTTTCTGTCTCATGGAGTAGTTTTCCAAAAGCCAGTTGCGAGGTGATGTAACCTTACTAAACGAGTTAGAGCTTTGATAGAGATCATTTAATTTGCTCGGAACTCCCACAACTTCCGCTAAACTCATTTTACGCCATAAATACTTATTAGAATTTATTGTTTGAATCTTCGAAAAAAATATTTCAGCCTGCTTATGGCTTAGACCTCGATTTTCGTACGACCGACATTGAAATTGCCTAACTATCTCACATCGTAATAGCAGGGGTCATAGGTTCTATCCCCGGCTGTGGATCAATAGACTTTATGTCTATGTGCGTATATAATACTTACTCATACGATGAAGGAAAACATCGTGAGGAATCCGCGCATGCCTTAGACCCAAAAAGTCAACTGTCAGACCCAGAAGGAGGATCACCTACTTGCCCATTAGAAAAAACAAATGATCACGGAATATATACAGAGACACCAAGACTTATTCCATGTAAGATCTATCATTCTACTAAAACCTACCAGATGCGGAGAACTTTACAGAATTCATAAAAAATTTCTCTCCGACTGGGAACCGAACCAAGGCGTACCCTTACGAAAATGTTTAACTATAAAGATTTGAAAATTTAAGTAGAAGATAATGATTTTTAAAAGCTTTTTATATAATCACTAGCGGACCCGACAGACGTTGTCCTACATGATATTTCAAGCGATTAGGATATTAGACAAAATATGAAAGTACCGACTGCAGCGCCATCTGCCGGGCTGATTGTGTATCTAAACTATCCAGGGCGCCACCCAAACGCATACAAAAAAATTTATTTAAATCGGTCCAGCAGTTTAAGATGTTCAATGATACACATGAACAGTAGAATTATATATATATATATATATACAAGCTGACCCGGCAAACGTTTGTTTTGCCATGTATATTATTTCTAGGAAACATTTTTTTAGTATAATAAAAATAAATATCTACAATAATAATAAAAATAGGGGTTGATCGTAGAGGGGTGAAAATTAAGGGTTGTATGTTGTATCATAAAAAAAATATTTTTTGGGGTGAACACCGCTTATCACTTAGGGGTTTGAACGATAGGTAGTAGCCGTCAGACTTAATAAATATACATAAAAAATTTCATAAGAATCGGCCGACCCGTTTCGGAGGAGTATGGGAACGAACATTGTGACACGAGAATTTTATATATTAGATAAAGATTACGAAATTAGAAGTGTTACATGTGCATTATACAATAGCATTGTATATTGTACCCAGCTTAATAATAATGTCCTAAACTCTAATAGGGCTTCAAAGTTATGCAATTAGGGCAACAAAGACGACCAACACAATCAATTGCACCCAATATACAGTATGCACATATACAAGATGGTAAACGTCAAAGAGGATCAGCAAACAAGACTTGTTTACAACGAATTGTTCCAGACTAATGAAGAATAATTAAAGTACTGATGCGAAAATTATTCGAAATTAAACCGCGGGTTTCGCACGACCGGTCGCTCTCAAATCAGTCGTGAACGCAGTCATTTTATGATTTGGCATTCTGAAAAGGTGGGAGTTTGTAGTTTATTGTTTATCAGAATGCCAAATCATAAAATGACTGCTTCTTGACTGATTTGAGAGCGACCGCCGATGCGAAAACCGCTGTGTGAGTTCGTAAAGGGAGTTACAGAATCGCAGGGCTGATGCGAAAATTATTCGACGACCTCTCAATGTAAATAAAGAAACACATACAGAATAAAAAATTACTACATAATAACTTCTTTGCTATTCTTGATGTTTTATAACAGACAGAATAAAAACAATCATGGCAGAAATTACATAACAAAGTTTAGTATAACACGTTTGTGGACTTAATATTTGTAAGTTAAATTATATAACAGATATATTAATAATAATAATAAAGCCCGTTTTATTTCCAATCAAGACAAAAAAATTATAATATACATCTTTAGATTATTTTACATTTTTATACACTTTTTTTATATATATCCTAGCTTCCTTCAGTACTGTCGATCGGAACCCCTTCACGGGTAAAGGCCTCCTCCAGCTTTTTCCAACTGACTCTGTCTATGGCTCTCTTTCAACCTATCAACCTTTTTTGGGCGACCTCTTGCTCCTTTTTTCTCCTTCTTCCTCTTGGTCCTTTCCATACAGTTGTCGACCTATTATGTGTGTATCTTGCTATATGCCCCGCTCATTGCCACTTCTGTTTTAGGGCAGAATATAAGGCATGTTTTGTTCTTCGTCTCATTTTTTCGAATTTAATTTTATGTATTTTACTTA